CATCATCACCATCACCATCACCACCATCATCATCTTCATCACCATCATCACCATCACCATCACCACCATCATCATCTTCATCACCACCACCACCATCATCACCATCATCACCATCACCATCACCATCATCATCTTCATCATCACCACCACCACCACCATCATCTTCATCACCACCACCACCATCATCTTCATCACCATCTTCATCTTCACCATCTTCATCACCATCATCAACTTCACCATCATCATCACCATCGTCATCACCATCATCATCATCATCATCATCATCACCATCATCAAAAACATCATCATCATCATCAACATCATCTTCATCACCACCTTTACCACCATCATCATCACCATCGTCATCACCATCATCATCATCATCACCATCATCATCACCATCATCACCATCATCAAAAACATCATCATCATCATCACCATCATCATCACCATCAACAAAAACATCATCACCATCATCTTCCTCACCACCTTTACCACCATCACCACCATCATCATCTTCATCACCACCACCACCATCATCACCATCACCATCACCACCATCATCATCTTCATCACCATCATCACCATCACCATCACCACCATCATCATCTTCATCACCACCACAACCATCATCACCATCATCACCATCACCATCACCATCATCATCTTCATCATCACCACCACCACCACCATCATCATCACCATCATCTTCATCACCACCACCACCATCATCTTCATCACCATCTTCATCTTCACCATCTTCATCACCATCATCACCTTCACCATCATCATCACCATCATCTTCATCACCACCTTTACCACCATCACCACCATCATCATCTTCATCACCACCACCACCATCATCACCATCACCATCACCACCATCATCATCTTCATCACCATCATCACCATCACCATCACCACCATCATCATCTTCATCACCACCACAACCATCATCACCATCATCACCATCACCATCACCATCATCATCTTCATCATCACCACCACCACCACCATCATCATCACCATCATCTTCATCACCACCACCACCATCATCTTCATCACCATCTTCATCTTCACCATCTTCATCACCATCATCACCTTCACCATCATCATCACCATCATCTTCATCACCACCTTTACCACCATCATCATCACCATCATCAAAAACATCATCATCATCATCATCATCACCATCATCAAAAACATCATCATCATCATCATCATCATCACCATCATCAAAAACATCATCATCATCATCATCATCATCACCATCATCAAAAACATCATCATCATCATCTTCATCACCATCACCATCTTCATCATCACCACCACCACCACCATCATCATCACCATCATCTTCATCACCATCATCACCATCACCATCACCACCATCATCATCTTCATCACAACCACCACCATCATCACCATCATCACCATCACCATCTTCATCATCACCACCACCATCATCACCATCACCATCACCACCATCATCATCTTCATCACCATCATCACCATCACCATCACCACCATCATCATCTTCATCACAACCACCACCATCATCACCATCATCACCATCACCATCACCATCTTCATCATCACCACCACCACTACCATCATCATCACCATCATCTTCATCACCACCACCACCATCATCTTCATCACCATCTTCATCTTCACCATCTTCATCACCATCATCACCTTCACCATCATCATCACCATCATCTTCATCACCACCTTTACCACCATCATCATCACCATCATCAAAAACATCATCATCATCATCATCATCATCACCATCACCATCATCAAAAACATCATCACCATCATCACCATCACCATCATCATCTTCATCATCACCACCACCACCACCATCATCATCACCATCATCTTCATCACCACCACCACCATCATCTTCATCACCATCTTCATCTTCATCACCATCATCACCTTCACCATCATCATCACCATCATCTTCATCACCACCTTTACCACCATCAACATCACCATCATCAAAAACATCATCATCATCATCACCATCATCTTCATCACCACCTTTACCACCATCATCATCACCATCATCATCACCATCATCAAAAACATCATCATCATAACCATCATCTTCATCACCACCTTTACCACCATCACCACCATCATCATCTTCATCACCACCACCACCATCATCATCATCATCACCATCATCACCATCACCATCACCACCATCATCATCTTCATCACCACCACCACCATCATCACCATCATCACCATCACCATCACCATCATCATCTTCATCATCACCACCACCACCACCATCATCATCATCACCATCATCTTCATCACCACCACCACCATCATCATCATCACCATCATCATCTTTATCACCATCACCACCATCATCATCTTCATCACCACCACCATCATCATCATCATCACCATCATCTTCATCACCACCACCACCATCATCATCATCACCATCATCATCTTTATCACCATCACCACC